AATGTACAAATGTGCTTCCAACAATGGATGAATGTATGAATTGTGATAAGAGTTGTACAAACCCTCAATAAAATGATTTATAAAAGAAAAAAAATTTAAAAGACTGTATACTAGGTAATATATATATATATAAAGAAATGGTAACTTTCCTGAGTATGATAATGGTATCTCAAACTCATGGCCATCAAGTCGATGCCAACTCATAATGACCTTATAGGACAGGGTAGAACTGCCCCTGTGAGTTTCCGAGACTGTAACTCTTTCTGGGAGTAGAAAGCCCATCTTTCTCCCGTGGAGCACCTGGTGGTTTTGAAATGCAGATCTTGGGGATTCCTTCCCACCGCATAACCACTACACCAATAGGGTTCCTGATAATGGTCTAGTGATTACATAAGAGATCGAATTTGTCTTTAGGAAATACATACTGAATTAGATATGGGTCAAAGTGAACAACTAGTTCTCAGATGGTTCTGGGGAAAACATGTGTGTAAGCACATATGTGGAAAGAGAGAAATAAAACAAACATAGCAAAATGTTCAGTGAGTGAATCCACTGAAGGGTGTAGTCACTGCTCCATTCCTGCAACTGTTCGTTAAGTTTGAAAGGTTTTTTAGAAATAACAACTGAACAGAATCAACGTCTTATATACCATCTCACAAAGACTATTTTAAAGCCACCAGACTAGCAAAAATGTGGGTGGGTGGGTGGGGGGTGTTGCCTCAAGAGAATTGGAACTACTTTGGAAAAGCACTTGGCATCCCACAGTAAAACTAATGATACGCAGATTCTATGACCCACGAATCAATCCCAGGCTTGAGAAACTCCACATGACGCACGTACAAAGATGTTCACAGCCGTGGTCTTTGCAGCGATGTACTTCCTCACTGCCATCAAGTCCGTTCCAACTGAGAGCAGCCCTAGAGGATGGGGTTTCCCAGACTACTTACACGAACAGAAAGCCAAGTCTTTCTCCTATGCCTGACCTTGTGAGCAGCCCAACATACAACCATGAAGCCCCAGGGCGCCTGTGGATACTGAAATCCACCCAATTCCTCACCAGCCTGGGTATTTTCCCCACAAAGAACTATCCGGCACCAATGAAAAAGAACAAATGACAGGCATCACCATATGGAAAAGAAAACCAAATAAGTTGTAGAATAATACACTCCATTTATGTCCACTTTAGATATTTGTATTTTGGACATTTATTTCTATTGTAAAGGCAAAGAAATAGGCAAGCTCAATTACAGTGTTTTAATATAGGCGCAGACTTAAACCCCGAGGAAAAGTTTCAGAAAAGCAAGGGGATAACACAACACAAAATTCTAGGGAGTAAGTAGTTCTCTTGCGGCAGCGGGGTCGGGGGCATGGAGTATTATATGGAGAGTTTAGAAGACATGAGTTAATTTCCTGTTTTGATGGTTGATGAATACATACATGGTCATTGGATTATTGGCTTCTAAATGACAGACTGGTAAAGGGGCTTCAAAAAGTCTTGGGAAAACTCACATTAGCTTTCAGTTTCATTTTTCTACTAACTTGTCAGAAGTTCGTTGTATATTATGTATTCTTTTTTACAAACAAGTAAGCGTTAGACCACACTCTGATGGCAGTACGTTGGGACACATCCAGCATCTCTTCACCAAGCTAACAAAAGGTTCACTTGGGGGCAAGTCAATTTCTCTTAAACAACCAGCGAAGATGGCGGAACTGAGCAAACACCCCAACCAACCGTTACTGGTGGAAGACTCAGTGTCAGTATTTAGAATTCATTCCTCAAAGAGCAGTAAAATGCCAGAGGTTTGCTTAGGGTCCTTGAGAGTCAAACCACCCCCATGGGAAAGAACAACTGAGAACTGAGCCATTATGTATACCACTGTGACTCTCAGGCCTTGCTGCAAACAGTGTCCACAAACGTCTTAACTATTTACAAGCAAAAGCATGTCTTTTTCTGCTACAGTGTTTCAGTACGAACAGTTATGAATTAGGTCACACCTAATCAAGTCCAGTAACTAAAGTCTGACTTGAAAAACAATTTCTAAATAAGGCAAGAAGAAAATCACCTTCGTGATGCTCCATTCAGAGACAGGCTCTCATCTTTAACCAAAAATCTTAATTTTTTCTATGCCTTTCTGATGGCGCTTGCTTTTCACTTTGTATTTTGGTTTTGCCCTTTCTTCACCTCCTTACTAGATTATGAATTATTTCATATAACTTAAATAAAATAGACTCAGCTTTACAAGCCCCCAAAGATTAATGCTACAGGGTAGCTTAACACTTTGCTCTCGTAAAAACAACAACAACAACAACAACAAAAACCCAGAAGCCCGCAAAACCCAACAAGGGGAAAAAGAACCACATTAAAAAACAAAGAGACCACACTAACAAACAACTTCTGGAATCTAAGTATATTTAATCTTGAATTCAAGATTAGGCCTTCTGCTATTTTGAAGAATTGCTGGTAGCGTAGTAGGTTACACGTCGGGCTGCTAACAGCAACTTCACTTCAAATCCACCAGCTGCTCTTTCAGGTTCTCTGCTGGCGTGAAGAAACCCAACGGGCAGTCCCACTGTCTATGCTATAGCGTCGCTATGAGTCAGGATGGACTGGATGGTAAGGGATCTTGTGGGGGGGGAGGGGGTGTTGCTCTTTCTTATTCTGAATTAATGCTAGATATTTAAATATAGGCAGTTCCTGGGTTACCAAATAGATCTATGTGAGGGTCTTTGAGAGTCTGTAGGTAAGTGGAAATAGGTGCAAAAGGTTATTTAGCCTTGGTGCAAGACGGGAGCCCTGGCGGGGATGGTGGTTAAATTTACAGACTTGGAAACCCTAAGGGGCGGTTCTCCTCTGTCTGATAAGCTCGCTAGGAGTTGGGAAAACTCAACAGCAGTGTGGGTGAAGCTTTTCCAACTGCCTAAGAGTGGCAGGAGCAGCAAGGGAAGGTGATTGTCCTGAATAACTGGCTGTAAGTAGGGGTTGGTTCAGTTGTGGCAGAGGGCGATCAAATTTACATAACATTAAAGGGCAAGAGCCCGCAGGGCAATTTGGAACACAGGGACTGCCTGCAGTTTGCATCTGTGACTTCCACTGAGAACCAAAAGGTGTCAGGCAAACGGTTCTGGGAGTAAACACAGCATAGGGCATTTTACATTCGCAGTAGCTCTAGGGAAGGCAAAGGCATAAAGGACTTCATGGAAAGAAATGCCGAGCAACTCTGAGCTAATTAGAAATCTTTACCATCCCTGCTCTAGAAGACTTGCATATACCACCGCAAAAAGCTGGCCTGTTTGATTTGCATCCCTACCTCAGTCCAGTGGCTTTGGCCTGGGGGTGGAGTTCTTGGACCACTTAGAGACCATGGTTTTCCAGGGAGAGGCTCCCTGCCCTCCCCAGCCCACCTTTGGTGTGCACCTGTCTGTGGTCACACCAGGGTGAGCTCTCAGAGGCGGCTGATCTGGTCTCACTTCCCCCACTTCTTTCCTTTCCCACATAAAATCCACTGTAGACTGGTGAAGGAATTTTTTAAACAGGAAAGAGAGCTTCCAAAAAAAATGTCAGGGAAATGAAAAAAAAAGTGTGTGTTTACTCATTAAAAGGGACTGCCAAAGGACACTTGATATTGCTATAGAACTTCCTATGAAAGAGCCAGTTTAAACAGGCTCCACAGACTAATTCCTTTCGAAACCACCCATGTAAAAATCCGTCTTCAGATCTCCTGGGAAGGAAGATTATTTATGTAAACAATGAGGTGGGCCCTATGATTTATTCTAAAATTGGTACTTCCAAATTCCATTTCAAAATTCTGAATTTTGGTTTTTTGAAACAGTTCCTTTTCCTTTTTTCTAAAGGAGTATTTATATTTGAAAGAATTGAGTCAAAATAAACGTCCTTCAGTCTAGAAGGTAAAAGGTTATCAGCTGTTTTAATATGACACCTCCTTGCTTAGCTGGCTGTTACCCGAGTGCTTAGAGGAGACCCTAGTCCCTTGTTCTGTACTCATTCCTTATGAAGGGAGGGAAGATGGTTCCCGAAAACATGGGCAACACTTTAATCAGCTGTGTGTCAGCTGCCAGAAGAGATGAAAGACGACACTCTCACAATTATACAACCTCCTCTCTCTGCTGCTCAGCCAAGAGCACATAGGTGGTCTGTGGCTGATGGCTGGATCCCAACACGCCATGACTCAGACCCAAAGCTGGGCCAAGTCGGCTTTGGGATGCACATACACAGCACTGCTAAAGACAAGAAGGGCGCTTCTGACAGGTGGCAGGGATCTCTGTAAGTACTCTCAGCTGGAAGCCTGGTCTATTCCCTTTGAGTCCCGTTTTTATAAACTATACTTTGAACAGATTATAAACGTAAGACAGAGGAAATTGTGGTCTCAGGCTGTGGTGGGACACATTTTGTGGATCACCTGTCCACTACTGCTGATAATACTCCACTGCTCAGACTTCCTACCATTTGTCCAAGGAAAGTCACCAGCAAACGTGACCTGGAGGCAGAATTCAAACCAAACAAATAACAGAGCCGGCATGGCTATTTACAAAACCCCAGAGAAACCACACGTTAAAATGGAAAGGAAGACCATGAAAAAGATGCTTCTCACCTTTTGAAAGTTCTTCCAAAAATTTTCAGCGGCTATGTATCCTTGCAAACTCCAGTCATATAAGACTTCCCCGCTGGCCTGGAAACAAAAGCACAAAGATCAACTGCTATTGCATAGATGAGGTGTTCGGAGGAGAATTTTATTTTCTTTTTTCCGTGTGTCCAAAAAATATAAAGCTGTATTGAACCACACCACGACTGCTGGGAGTCTTGGGACAGACACATGAAAATTGTGCAACCTGAGGTAATAATGATAGAATACGAAGAAAAAACAATCTAGTTATTTATAATTTACACTTGGACATATGTCCGCGTGGGTTCGTACCCCACTCCTGGTACCAAAATGTGTTAGACAGGGTTCTCTAGAGAGATAAAACCAAATTGCTGATAATTTATTTATTTATAAAGATAATTAGATATATAACAAGGAATGAACTGTTAAATCATATACAGTTAAATATATAATACAAGAAAGAAACAGTTAAATTATAAAGCACTACAAATGGCTCAATTCAACTCACTGCCGTGAGAGAGATGTGAGAGACTAGCAGTCCTTCCAGTCCAATCTGCTGCCAGATCTTCCTCTATTTATAGAGAGTGCTAGGCTATGTCAGCACAGCAGCCAATCACAAGGCAGGTCACCAACTGCCAGCCAGGTCACCAACTGCCAGTCCCCAGCTCCAGCGATGTCTTAAAGGGACCTCAACTTACAGCGACACAGTCCACAGGCTAGGGGTCCCACAGGTAGTGTAGCCTTTAAATTGAGGCACAGGACAAGCAAGGCAGCTGCACACTGGTCCGATGATCAAAGAGCGAGAGACAAGAAAGGTGAGACTCACCAAGGCATTTATCTCTCTGCCCTTCAGTTAATCCCACTTGTGTTAATCGGCCAGGCTGGCACAATAAACTATCTCAACAATGTTTTCCTATGAATTGCAGGTATATATGCCAAAATTTAAAAATTAAAAAAACAACAAAAACATAGATCCTATCTGATGGAAGAAAATCCGACGTGGAAGACTTTGTACCTGCCGTATCTAGTACTCTGTCTTTCATGTAACAGTCAGTCACTCGACATTTACTATGGTGAAAACAGATCATTCATTTTAGGAGTTTAAGAACAGGTAGACCCAATGAATATGCTCCCTGTTTCCCTAGACACCCCTCCCCACCAAGAAAAAAACAAAACAGTTCCTATATGGACTTGGGACTAACAATCCAGAATGCTTTAAAAAGATCTTTTTAAGTTGAAAACTTTCAAAGACATTTTTTTAAAGTATTGAACTAAAAAAACAAAACAAAAGCATTCTGGGGATTTGCAATCATTAGTTGTATATACATATGAGGAAGAATAATGCTGATGAGTCCCTCTCACTTTATCCCTAATAGGTGCTGGCCTTCAACTCAGTGACCTAATGCACAATGGAATGAAATGCTAACGCAGTCTTGCACCAGCCTCACATGATTGGCTGTGGATTAGACCACTGTGATCTACATAGGCTTTTCATTGGCTGTTTTGGGGAAATTGAGCACCAGGCCTTTCTTCCTAGTCTAAGTGTACAAGTTCCATTGAAGCTGTTCAGTGTCTTAACATGTTATGCCTCCACTGACAAATGGATTGTGGTGGCACATGAGCTGCATGGGTGGGAAAATCCAGCTTTGATTTCCCACATGGAATGGGTTACATCTATCCTGGAACAACATGCAACTGTCCTCCTCCCATTGAACAGTACTCCACCTTTCTGAAAGTAATGATTCTTCTCTTCCTAATTGTTATAATTTATCTGTGTATAGCATTTTAATTTGCAAAGCACTTTCACATCAAGTGTCTTTACTCTGAAGATCAACTGTGATCTGCAAAAACTGTAAAGAACCATTCAGAGGCCAAGTGACTTGTTAAGGTCAAGCCACTCATAGGCCCAGTAGTCTTTGGCATACGTTGATTTCTTAGGATTTAATGTTCTTAAAATATGTGATTCTCAGGCTAAAATATGTGATCAGCAGACATACTGAGCATTAACCAGCTAAATGGGCCGGCTCTGGGTATTTTACATTATTGAGTGGAAAGTAACAGTCTCCACTACCCTAAGGGCTTTTCTTAAAGTAGTTTATCTAAATACCACTGAACAGAAAACCGAATAGAGCAACTTATGTGGTTTGTCCAAGGTTAGAGTGTTTATAAAAGAGAAAATTGAAGCGGTAAAGTAGGCACAAAATAACACTTAAAAAAAACTGGAAAAGCTCTTTAAATCGCCAACTTTTTATATCTCATGAAAATAAAGCCAATTGTTTTGTTCTGACTTTTCTAGGTACAAGAAAAATGATAGAGAGAAACTTTCCAATGACTTTAAAAATAAAGAATGCAACTTAAGATCCACATCTTGGTTGTGAATATGAACATTCTTTGGCAATATATGTGGTGGTGCTTAAGGTTAAATTAAAAAATCCCCACTCCGGGGCTGAAATAATTCATCTAATGCCCTGATGGGCTATGTAAACATCAATCTCTACAACCCTGAAACCAGAAGAACTAGATGGTGCCCAGCTACCACCACCAAGTGCTATGAAAAGGATCCCTTTTGAAATTCCTAGATAGAGTTGGAGAAAATGTGCGACAAAACTCAAAATCATAAGAGACCAGGCTTACTGGTCAGGCAATGAGTGGAAGAACCCTTAAGACTATGGTCCTTAGTCATCCCTCAGGTCTGAAACGGAACTCACTGCCATGGTTCAATTTTCAGCCAAGCAAGTGACACTAGGGAACAGTAACACTAGGGAGGTACACACACCTCAGAATAATGTACCACCAGAGATCCAAAGAACAAGGTTCACTCAAGGACAAAGTGCAGAAGGGTTACGAAAGGAGGCGAAATGGCAATAGGAAACACAGAGAGGAGGTGGGATAAGTGATGTGATACTAGAGGCATTGCAATCAAGGACATGGAACAAACGGTATGTGAATTGTTGAATGGAAAGCTGATTATCTGCTCTGTAAGCATTCATTCAACTCATAATTAAAAGTTGTGTGTGTGTTTTTAAAAGTATGTGCCCAAAAGGAAGGTAAGAGAGAAAGCCAAAAGCTTCTGCAGAGGAAGCAGGATCGAGAGGAGGACTTTCTAGACTAAGGAGGCTGGAGTATGTTTGTAGAGATGGAAGATGTAAAAGAGCAATGGTATTCATTGAAGTAGAACTCTAAGAAGCAGAACAGAATAGAATGATCATCATGGCTGGAAGGGATGGTCTGAGAACAGCCACTCCAGGGCAAAGTCAAAAAGGAGGACAATAAGCTATAGAAACAACTTCGAAATTTTCTTTAATGTAAATGAGCTAAGAGTTTAGAATTCATAGGCCCTCCTAGAGCAGAGGTTCTCAACCTTCCTAATGCCGCGCCCCTTTCATACAGTCCCTCATGTTGTGGTGACCTCCAACCATAAAATTATTTTCGTTGCTACTTCATAACTGTCATTTTGCTACTGTTATGAATTGGGTGAACCCTGTGACAGGGTCGCTCAACCTCCAAAGGGGTCACGGCCCACAGGTTGAGAACCGCTGTCCTAGAGGATAGTAATACCACTTTCCTTTGGTAGTTATTTGCAATGATTTTCCAATGTGATCTGCAACCCCATGGTTAAAGTAGAATCTCCTCAATGGATTGCTTGCTGTAAATTAACATCTAAGTCACTTCCCGCATTATATCTGGTTTTCTCTAGTAACATGTTTAAGAACATACCACTTTATGTTGAGAACTGAGATGGAAGTCCAGTCACCGAGGGTAACTGAACATGTCCTCAGTGACATTAACAGATTGGTAAACATAAGTCAGTCAGTGTCCTGTTGAGTGGGAGATGACACTGTGTGAAAGCAGAACACAGCCACAGCAGAGACGGTGGCTAGTTAGAACAAAGGACAGAAACCCCAGGAAAAGTATGAAAACGTTGCTCTAAAGCTTTTCTTTTCTGTACAGAAAAACACTTAGTATTAATTTCTAGAACTAGCAAAGCTCAGTTTAAAAAGAAGTTATATAAATATGTGAGAAATACTATTAAGTTGCCATTATTTTACTGCAATTTTATTGCAAACAAAAACATCATGTCTTTACAAGGCTGAGAAAAGCTTCCTGGCCAAAGAATCAGTACATTCTACAATGGAAAAGTAAACAACCAACCTTTTAGGAGGCAGTAAATCATCACCAAAGTTTTATTTGTTCCTTAAAATAAATAAAGGACTCTCCTCAGCGAGACTAAAATTATTTCAGGAAACCTGTACAATTTCAATTTACGACTTGACTAGTGCTCACAGACTTGCCAACCTTGTAACATCCTCTAGAGATTAAGGAAAACACAACTCATTTTGGAACCAAAGGTCAGAGAAACAAAAGGACAGGCCCAAAATTACTCTAAAAGACGATTTAAAAGTCATATGAAGAAAATACAAATACACACACACACACAACCGAGAGAGAGAGAGAGAGAGAGAGAGAGAGAGAGAG